TGACACCCGTCCACAGAGAATGATTTCCATGAGCCCATTATAGAGTGACTGACATTGTCTTTCAGTGACAAGAAAAGACTTGCCTTTAAAAGAAGAGGAAAAGTCAAAAGTCATCAAAACAATGTAATATCCTGTGTGAAATGTTGCAGTCACAAAAGTTTGAGGTTTGAGTCCCTTGATCATGTGCCCCGAGGGAAGTAAGTGGTTTGAGTCCCTTAATCATGTGCCCTGAGAGAAGTAAGTCGGTGGTGGTGGCTGCGGATGACGAGTCAGGTTGCTCAGGTGCGTCTCCAGCTCACCTCACACTTGGGCTTCTCAGGGAGGAGGGGCGGAAGCCCTGGCCCACTGTTAGCACGATGATCCTCAGCCTGCTCCTGGCTCTCAACTTCTTCCCCTCAATTCAAGTAGCAGGTAAACAATTTTGATTTCTTTCCTCCCTCAACGTTTTCGTTTGCGGTCTTTGGTTCATCTTCAAATTTCAACGAACTCATGAAATTTGGGCATTTGAAGTGTAGTTTTTGCTATGAACGGCAACCTGTTATTTAGAAACTCACTGATTCTCAGACTATGGCCAGCAAAATATTTTAATGAACTGCCTTTGGAATTAAATCAGATTTATTTAGCTATCAGTTGATAGTGTCCCAAGAATTGTTAGCTTTTGTCTGTACATATATATTTTGAAATGTAAGGAAATTGCTGTAAGCAGGTTGGTTCTGAAAGCTCTGGACTTGGACTGCCTGGATTCACAGTACAGATCCATTTCTTGCTAGCTGAGCTTAGGCTAGTATTTAAACTCTCTAAGCCTCAGTTTCCTTGCCTGTAAAATGGGGCTGATAATAACCTCATCTCAAGGTCATTGTGAGGATAAAAGGAAACAATCCATGTGAAATGTTTAGCACAGTCAGTGCTTGGCTAGCAAGATAAAGGTTGGTTGTAATTACCATGTCTACCTGAACTGAATGAGTGCCAGAATGAATTCTGGAGTTGTCACAGAAGCTGGTACAATACAGATGCTAATAAATTAGTTTTTTTTTTTTTTAACAGTTGGCTGAAATCTGTTTTCTTAGTTGAAATTCTTTTACGTTTCCAGTGGTGATGGGTCGAGACTAAAAAACTTGACACTATCACAGTTAACTGCATTTCAGATGAGGAGATGGGAGTAGGAATGTTAATTTGGCTAAGGATATACATATAGGAGTTATTGGAACCAGGGTCTGAACTACTTTAGTCTGACGCTAGAGCCTGTGCTACTCCGCCTAACATGATGTGCTTTATAATTTCTTAGCTCCAGATATGTCCAAGGTTAAATCATCTTTGGAAAATTACAATTCCAAACAGAAAGAGTTTGTTGCTTATGTGGGCTGGAGTCAGATGTTTGTTCAACTCGTTCTCAGAGTTAGAAAAGGGTCCCACTTGGCTCAAAAATTGGACTGATAGGGGTTAATCGGCATATTAAAATAAGGATAGTTATTTTCCCCTTGAAGATACACTGAAAAGCCAGTATCTTCCATTTTCTTTCTCACTTAGTTTGGTAATGTGGGGACTGCATGATATTTTGTTGTTCTTAAATATCATGTACATGACCTCCAAAGAATATAATTACCCAACCTGCACAAGTACGCTAGCTACATATATACCCATCCATTTTGTTGTCTGAGGTGCCAGTAAGCACGTTTACAAAATTGTGTGTATTTTATAAAAGGTGTTGATATAATAAAAGACATGAACAGGTGATGAGACAGGTTATGCTCCAGTATCTGGAACCCAGTATTGAGAGTTACCAAGTATATTTTAAAAGAATCTTCAACATTGATTTAAAAAAAACTTTGTTTTTAAGGGATCTCTAAAATTTATTTTTAAAGAGTATTTAAAATGTCTTAATTTATTAGGCAGTAAAGAATGGGCAGAAAAGAGACAGAGGCCTCACTCTGACAGAAAACTTTAAAATTGCTAACTGTACACAAAATACTTTTCTCTGTGGAGAGCCATCCATCATCATTTCATTCACTCTCCTTTGAAGATATTTTTTGTAAGACTCAAAGCTTTATATTCTTCCTTTAGAACATTTATTAAAAGGGGGATCCAGCTAGAAAAGCAGTGAAGAGATCACACTCATGGAAACTGTTTTTGACTTTGAGGTACTTCTAGTTTTCAAATGCCAACTTGCCCCCATAAAAACTTTTAAGATTTGGTGCTGAGTGGCCATCTAATGAAGTAGGACAGGGGTAGAGAAGGCACTTTCAAAATGTCTCTTCCAGTAAGAAAACTTATGAGAAAAAATAATTACAACATACAAAAATGTCTAATGATCCATTCTCATCAGTGGTGCAAAATCTTCCACGTGCTTTTTGTTTCTGTCTTCACCCTCCATGAAGAAGTGACAGTTAAGGAAATTTGCTGGTCACAGTGTACTTGTCCTCCCTAGGATTGTGAGAGACTATTTCTATGTCTGTGTTGAGATATGTGTGTGTATGTGTTTGTGTGTGTGTGTGTGCGTGTGTGTGTATGAAGAACAGTTTTTCCCCCGACTAATTTAATAAGTCTAACTCATTGCCTCACAGCATAGCTTGAAATACTTATTCTATAAAGTGTTTTAAACCTAACCTGATGCTTCATGATTAATAACACTCTAGAAAGATCTTTATGGCTAAATTAAAGAAGTATGACTTAGGAGGCATGAGAAAACCTTAACTCACACAGTTTCTTTACTAACATGACATGTTTTCTACCAGATAATTGTGCAATTGAGATCCACAATAGAGGGTTTTGTTGGATTTTGGAACATGAATCCAGCATAGAACTGCAGGCCCTTGAAAGGGAATCAATTCGTGGTTGATGACAGAAGTGTGCCTATAATATATAGCATTGTTCATAGGTTTTTCAGCCAATATTGGTTATTTTCCAGCAAGCTAATCATCCATGATAAAGGCAAAAATCAGGACAACACATTTTTTTTTTTTCCACAAGAGCATTTCTTTTCATTTCTTCCCAAACCTTAGCAAAGAAACTGTCAAAAACGGCCAGTTCGAACACAACTGGTTTCTGCGGTGCTTCTGCATTTCCCCCAGCACTTCTTTTTCTGAGAGAGGCACAGAGGGCAGGAAAATGATTGGTATTTAATAAAAAAACATCAGCAAAGCAAGGTAATTAAAGACCTTATTTTTAGTTCAGCAAATGACCCCTTTGAGGTAGTTAAGTTGTACACAAAAAGAATCATTTGCTTCTCTCAGGAAAGTGTTGCTCCAAGGCGGGGCTTGGGAAGGTAAGGTAGAAAGATGGACATAGAAAATGCAATGTAACCAGCAGCTTGCTGTGTCTGCATGACACCCCATACACAGTAGCCAGTTCTTCTGACTGTTAAAAAATTGACTGGGTGTTTTGTCAGTTCCAGTAAATTTGATGGACATTTCAAAAGTGTAGCCATTGCTTAAGAATTGGTTTTACTCTGCTTTCACACGCTAAAATACTTTTTTTTTTTTAAAAAGGCAACCATCCAGAAAGAACTTTTACAGCAAGGAATGTAAAATTAATACCAATATATCAATACCAGGAAATAGAATGAGTCATTTTCATGGATAGATTAGAAAAAGAAATGAATCTGTGATCGTTACTCTGAATCTCTCACATTCAAACCTTTACTATGGGGGGTGGGGGAGGATCTCGCTGCCTTTCCTTTAAACATAAACCTTCCTCCTTTTTAATATCCTTAATCTATTTTCATGAGTATCAAAATGCCATGTGACTACCATTCACCTTTTATCATGGGTGGCTATCTTCCTCCAAGTACTGCCTGCACGCAGTGTGTTGACGTTTACAAAATGAAAATTATTATGCCACCAACATGCCAGAAGAAAATTCCGTTTGTGGTTTATCATCTCTAAAACAATAGCTCTTTATTAATGCATATAGGCATTGATAAGGATACATGGTTCATTGCAGACTTTCTTGTCTGAAAATCAGAGGGCAGGCCCTCCTTCAGGGCAGTTATTTATCCTTTTTCCTTTTCATCTTGGTTAAAGTTTTGTTTGCCTTTTTCTTCAAGACATTTCTTATCTATAAAACTTCACAGAGGCTGGGACTTTTCTTCCCAGTAGATAGTTTAGCTGAACTTCAGGAAAAAAAATGATATCTGGGTGGCTTTGTGACAGACTGAAGGGGTCTCTGGTTTTCTAAGACTTGTTGAGGAATCTATGTCTCTTTTATGTTAATTTCTTTGACCCTTTTTGGTCAATGACATGATGTTGTCATCCAAAAATGTACCCAGAACTTTCGGTCTGAGAATGGTTGTATGAGAATTGGTCCCAGAAGCTGGAGGGAATGTAACCCAAGCCCTATGGAAAGTAGGTGTCTAATTTCTTGCTTATTACTCTCATTTTAATGACTCTCAACACTAGAAGAGAGGTGTCCTGGATGGGTTCGAGGGCTACTCAGCCCTTTATTAGAGGATGTGGAAAAGAGAGTTTAGACTTCTTGGGCCTTAGGATTTCAATGCTGATTTCATAGGCATCTTAATTCTGTGTGTGACCATTCAGGTTATGTGAGTTTATATTTTCACTCTTGGAAGACAAATGCATGGTGGTGGTGAATTTCTTACTTAACTCTGAGCTGCAACTTTATCTCTGCATCACCATTACCATCATCTTTTTCATTTGTCATCATCTTTATTATCTTGGGGACTCTGGTTGCCAAGGTAACCAGGTTAATGGTTACTGATGGTGTCATAAGAGTCACCCACTCACCGTTCACTCTGACCTCTAATCTAATTGTGAGCCCCTTTCTGCAATCTGAGTCACCTCTCTGGCTCACAATCCACCACTTAATGTACTGGTTATAACAGTAACTCCTAGTCATTACCCACTCTCTCACACAAGAATCTAAATTAGTGACATGTCTTACATTTTTAACAATGACATGGATTCCCCTGTTAAGGACTTAGGTGGGTGTTTCTTTTCTTTAAACTTGAGAAGATAAAGGGCTGTGCTTTTCATTTCTTAGGGATACTTGACATGTGATAAAGTGTCAGAACATCACTGTGGCTGTATTTGCAGCTTCCATGTGACCCGACGACTTGTGTTGAAATTCAACAGTACTAATAATAAGGGTACATAATTTAAGACCAGCTTCAGCAATGTTGAGCCCAGGAGGGTTCCATTTCCAATTCACAGACTCTGTCCCATAGAAGGTGGATGAGAATGGGCACATAGGGGAAGGAGAATGTTTCCTCCCACCATGAGGCTCCTGTGGGGACTAAAGCAGGGTGTTAGTAAGTTACTGTTCTCTAAAGTTCCTGCTCCTTCTTATGCTTTGGGAAGACAGATCTTCTTTCATGTGCTCATTCCATAGGTATTTATTAACATCTTCTACGTGCTATTTTAGGTTCTGTGACTGATACAAAAACCCAGTTTGAGCTA